CGTGTATAAGTCGAGGATCAAACTTGAGTAAGAAATAGAGGAGTCTTACAGATACCCCGTGTATAAGTCGAGGATCAAATATGAGTAAGAAATAGAGGTGTCTTACAGATACCCCGTGTATAAGTCGAGAATTAAATTTGAGTAAGAAATAGAGGAGTCTTACAGATACCCCGTGTATAAGTCGAGGATCAAATATGAGTAAGAAATAGAGGTGTCTTACAGATACCCCGTGTATAAGTCGAGAATTAAATTTGAGTAAGAAATAGAGGTGTCTTACAGATACCCCGTGTATAACTCGAGAATCAAATTTGAGTAAGAAATAGAGGTGTCTTACAGATACCCCGTGTATAACCCTCTATTTCTTACTCAAATTTGATTCTCGACGTAAGACAAGATACCTCGTGTATCTTGAAATAGTTTAATGTAAAAAATATTTAGAAATAATACGAACAGAGCATGTCTTGAAATAGTTTAATGTAAAAAAATACTTAGAAATAATACGAACAGAGCAAGTCTTGAAATAGTTTAATGTAAAAAATACTTAGAAATAATACGAACAGAGCATGTCTTGAAATAGTTTAATGTAAAAAATACTCAGAAATAATACGAACAGAGCATGTCTTGAAATAGTTTAATGTAAAAAAAATACTCAGAAATAATACGAACAGAGCAAGTCCTGAAATAGTTTAATGTAAAAAAAAACTCTTAGAAATAATACGAACAGAGCAAGTCCTGAAATAGTTTAATGTAAAAAAAATACTTAGAAATAATACGAACAGAGCAAGTCTTGAAATAGTTTAATGTAAAAAATACTTAGAAATAATACGAACAGAGCAAGTCTTGAAATAGTTTAATGTAGAAAAAATACTTAGAAATAATACGAACAGAGCAAGTCTTGAAATCTCGGGTTTGAAGCTTCCTTTGGTTAATTGTCATTGAAAATATAAGGTATTCTAAAAACATTATGGAAGTAGGCTTAATGGAAGAAATTGTCATACCTTATTGTAACAAACTATAAATTGATGTTTGTATGTTATTAGTCTGGTAAATTGACAAGGAACGGAGCGGAAGTCTCAATAACGGACACAGGACAGAGCTGTCTTCGTGAAGATGGTACTCACTCCTATGGTATAAACTTCATTCGGAATAGTAAGTCCACGTATCTCTCGCAGTGATTCAAAAAACCTAAAATTATTGTAGGTTCAACGTTACCCTTAGCCTACCTTAGTTTCCATGAAACTCGTTATCTTTGTAAATTCAACGTTGCGCTTATTCTGCCTAAGTTTCTATAATATTTCATCACGACAATTCAGTATTTTTGTATGTTGAACGTTTTGTTGAGTCTGTCTAGACTTCTATAAAATTTAGTCATGAGAATTTAATATATATTTCTGTAGGACCAACGTCACGCTGAATTCGTTAGGTTTCTCTAAGAGTACGTCATGGAAACACGGTATGGTAGGTTCAACGCCATCTTCAGTTTCTGGGTTTCTATAACATTAGATCATCAAGGTGGTCCATGATTATGTAACTATTTGCTGTAGCACCGTATGGCACCACAATGTACAAGTTACAGCACCGTATGGCAACACAATGTGCAAGTTACAGCACCGTATGGCACCACAATGCGCTTTACTTGTTTCAATGTACAAGTTCAAGAGGAAAAAAGAAACTTACATCCTCTTTGTTTACCAACATCTTATTCATCTCGACAGATCTGAACGGGCGAAATATTAGTTTTATAATCAGAATTACGTGTTTTTCTGGGTTCACCGTGACAATCAGTATGTCATCATTTCGTTGACACACAAGAATAAAGCCATTAACTATTAACACCTCGTCCCTCGAAGAAAAATTAACAACTGATTAATCCTCTCGAGAAGTCTTTTGTTCGACATTATAGCCTATCTTACATGCCGGACATGGCCTAGTTCAGGGCTGTAGGTCGGAAGGTCTAAACTTCTACACTTTCCTTGTTTGGTTACGAGTTTTCTTGTAGGTGATGTGTCCTGTAAACTGGTTGTTCTCTCTCTCTTTGGTTAGCAGCTCTAAATAGGAACGGCTATACCTGAACTTTGACTGTTTATGCTGTTCAGATTGAAAATACCAAATATTAAATATCAGTCATAGTACATGTCAATTGTCACTATGAATACATTAAAAAGGAAGAGGTTCAGTTTCGGAAAAAATATCCATTCAATCACAAAACGTTGCCAAGAATGTAAGAATTGTATCCACAACAACAAAAACAGAATCATCAAACACGCTTTAACAAGGTCAATTAGTTATACAATTAATTAAAGATTTGATAATGATTTCTTAATTGATTGTTTTTGTACGTTATAATTAAGCTATCTTGAACTTTCAATACACACTGTTTGCTTCTTGAAATGTAAAAAGTAAATTATTTTCTATCGGTACGCATGAAAACAGGGTATTTTGAAAACTAATTCATAGATAAATATGCTTGTCTGAATACACTCCAGGATCTAATCTTATGGTGAGTGTTCATAAAAAATTACTTTTACAAGTGATTTAACGTTTATAAATTTACTATTTTCTTTATACTTGTCTTATTTTCTTTTTTCAGCCACATGCTCACGAAACCCCCTTGCTTCAGATTTTTCAACAAGACCATTTTGGAGACCGTATGGTATCCCATCATCAGAACAGTCGCTAACTGTTTCTCCATCCTTAATACCCAATACGTGGGTATGGAATCCTTCTAATCTAAATCATCCAACACAACCTAATATACAGGATTCACCCTATGAAAGAAGCAGATCATATGTAACTCAGCGACACCACAACGATCTGCTATACAAATCCCAACCAACTAGACCACCGTGGAGACCAACTTATGTAAACAATCCACCTGATGCCGATCCAGTTAACAGACCTCAACCATCTAGGCCACCGTGGAAACCAACTTACATAAACAATCCTCCTCATGCCGATCCAGCGTATGGACCTCAACCATCTAGCCCACCGTGGAGACCAACTTACATAAACAATCCTCCTCATGCCGATCCAGCGTATGGACCTCGACCATCTAGACCACCGTGGAGACCAACTTACCTAAACAATCCTCCTCATGCCGATCCATCATACGGACCTCAACCATCTAGACCACCGTGGAGACCAACTTATGTAAACAATCCACCTGATGCCGACCCAGCTAACAGACCTCAACCATCTAGTCCACCATGGAGATCAACTTACCTAAACAATCCTCCTCATGCCGATCCAGCGTACGGACCTCAACCATCTGGACCACCATGGAGACCACCTTATTTAAACAATCCACCTCATGCTGATCCAGCATACAGACCTCAACCAACTAGACCACCATGGAGACCAACTTACATAAACAATCCACCTGATACCGATCCAGTATACAGACCTCAACCATCTAGACCACCGTTGAGACCAACTTATGTAAACAATCCTCCTCACACCGATCCAGCGAACAGACCTCAACCATCTAGACTACCGTGGAGACCATCTCGTGTTACACAACCATCTGGGAAGGAAGATCCAATTCAGCAAACAAGGCAACATTGGAAACCTTCTCTGGTCCGTCACCCAGAACCTTCAGATCGTAGACCACCAAATAATCAATGGACTAAGAACTCCTACCAGTACCCAGGGGGGCCATTTAGGTTTACTACTCCTTCTTGGAGACCTATTACAGGTGAGAAAACACTACTCTAAAAAGGATGCACTAACCGTATATATTCATGTATAAGTCGAATTTTAAGACCATGATTTTTGTTCAATAAGTTCTACCCTCGACTTATACACGGGCTACAAGATCCATAACATTTTTTTATAAACTCCTTCTCTCATTTTATGTCAAAGTTAAGCGCCCTGAAGCTGGCCTTAAGTAACTGTTTGTTAGCCCTAAACCGATCTATGAATACTTACTTGGGCCGTTCTCTAAGAGGAATATTTTTTTCTTTTTGTTTTGTTTTTAAGCCCATAGTTTTATTTTCCCCCTTTCAAACATAGCAGAGGAGAGTTTAGTAGTGAAGCCACGGGTGAGTCTGTATATCTTATCAAAATGAAACAGATATCGTAGACTTAAGCTACAACGAGAGCATGCAGAAAAATCCACGATTTTTTGGGGAAGAAATGTATTCAAACTTAAAATAACATATTTATTCAAAAGTCAGGTTTTATCTTTAAACTCTCCCCTCGAGTTATACACGGGCTATCTGTAAAACACCCGTATCTGTTACTCAAGTTTGATCCTCGACTTACTTGCTCTGTTCGTATTATTTCTAAGTATTTTTTTACATTAAACTATTTCAAG